CAAGTTTAGGTTCATAGACTTGATCGTCTAACTGCTCATCTATTATATTCTTTCGTTCTTCAATGACTAAGGCTCGGTTAGGATATATGGAAGAGGAATGGACAAAATCCTTACAATTGAAGTACTGCAAGTGAGAAGAAGTCCTTGGAATTTCAGAAGTTGTACCCTTTTCTAACACAGGAGGAACATTTGACGGGTAAGGTCTCCTAATAGACTTAAGAGAACGCAGCGCTAATGAGTTGGGTGTATGGTTGTCACCATGCTTTTCATATGGAGTACCAATAATCAATTCATAATCTCAGGCTAAAGAGTAAGCGTGATCAGGAGTACTGACACCTCGAAGGAAAAACTCACGCTTAAGGTCATCTCTTTGACCTTGTCTAAGCCTACTCAAAGTCAGGGTCTCATCCTCAATGACATGACATGTCATTCAAAATTCCTCAAATTCAGTAATACACTTAGTCACTAACCGATTTTCTTGTTTAAGAGCGGTTCATTGAGTAAAAATTTCAAAATCTAAGCAATCATCAAAAGTAGAAACACCTACTTTATTGTTTCTAAAGGAACGCTCCTTATGACGTGGAAGAGAATGAATACTGTGACGGTCATAATCTCGTTTTCGCTCATGAACCTGATCCCTATCCCTATGAACGTGTCGAAAATATTTTTGATCACCTTGTCAACAATGATTTTGTCCATTATAGGACACATCAAAATTATCAACATCAGTCGAATGAGAGATTTGCTTAAACTTGTTTAGACCAGCAGCTAGGCTCCTACGCTCTTCAAGATTAGCAGCCATATCAGTTTGGACAACCATTAATTGATTTTGGAACAGTTGTTGGTTAGTGGCAAGTTGTGCTAATTGTCTGGTGAGGGCATCAAATTGGGATGGGTCCATCGTCAAGTTATTGAAACTAGATATAATAAGATGACCACTATACAATTGCATGCAACATACTACCAGCTAAATGAAGTGTACTGGAGCTAGATTCGACAAGACGACAACTTTTTTTATCACTTTTTTTAGTGACAAACACCAATTTTCAGTCACCTTCTTGATTTCTATCACTTTTTTTAGTGACAAGCACCAATTTTCAATAAAAATGATATTGTATTTCATTTTTTAATTAAAAAAAAAGTGACAATTGACATTAAAAAGTGATGATCACTTTTCAGTGTCACTTATTTTTTACCGTCACTTTTTTAAAATGAATTTTGTCATTGTTTTTTAATGTTTATCACTTTTCAGTTACTTTCTTGATTTCTATCACTTTTTTTAGTGACAAACATCAATTTTCAATAAAAGTGACATTGCATGTCATTTTTAATAAAAAAGTGACTTAATTTTAAAAAGTGACGGTCACTTTTTCAGTATAACTTTTTTTTTTAAAAAATGATTGCTGGTACTGCACAAATTGATAGTGCTATTTTGGTATTTGTCACTTTTTTTTTAATTT